CATGTTGGCACTCAAAATTTTGGGGGGTTTTGGGTCATTTCTATGTTTTGGAATAGGGATATTTAACCTGTAGTTCATCTTTATTTTAAAAATGTTTTTAAACATTTAATAGAAACTTGGATCCTACTGTGACAAGTGTTATATAACTATTTCAACTGATTCGAAGCCATCCTAGGTAATTCATACATAAAGACTCTGTAGTCTATGCAGTAATTCACAGATGCTTAACTGTAATGGTGAACAAAGCCAAAATAGTTATAAGCACTATAAAAAACAAAAATTCAACACTGGGATAGTCCAGATAAACATAACATTATATTAGAATATTTAAAGAGTACTCCCCCCTAAAAAAAAAAAAGAGAAAACCTAAGGCACTGAGCAAGGCTGCTCTGTTATATTGCTGTGGACACTAAGATGGATGGGTCTAGAGATCCCATCTAACAGCATTTATGGTCTTAAATGTCTTTGTTCCTTAATTCCTACAACCATGTTTCTTAAACTTGATGGCTATATCCAACAATTTTTAAAGAACAGAAAAAAATGCTTACAATTCCTAGTTCTCAGTTATTTTAATTATAATTTTATTTACATACAAAATTTTAATATACATTAAAAATATAAATTTTAATGTATATACATTGACAGGTATATACATTAAAAATTTATCTAAGTTTCTCATACTCATAGCTCTAAAACAAATTTACAAATTCAATTTATAAAATATAAGCAAAGAAACAAAATCAGTGCTGTTTAAATGAACACAATTAGGATTAGGATCAGGAAGACATTCATGAAGGTGGCATTGGAGGTGGTCTGTGAGATTGACTAGGGTTAAGTTGCTGGGTAAATGGAGGTTGGAGGGTAGAGGAAGGCCCAGGCAAGGGACAAAAGTGAGGAGAGGACCCAGTTACATGAGACTGCAGCAAATATACAAAGAGTTGTCCCTTTGGGCTCTAGTGTAAGGGTAGGGATGTGAGATAGTGGACCTTTTGAAACTAAATCTGGGACCTGGAGTATCGGTCCAAGAAATGAATGGGCACGATTGATGGCATATGAGCAGAATAGGATACTGTATTTTTAAAAGATATATCTGTAGCAATATTTAAATACATTAGAAAAATGAAAAAAGCAAGATAGAAAATCCAAGAGGCCGGCTTTGTGAGCGCAGGCGTTTGTTTTACTAATCACCTGGTCCTAGAACACAGTTGGTCCTCAGTAATTGTGTGTTGAACTAATGTATGCTGCCTACTAATGAATGGCAGGAAGACATCTGTTGAAATGTGTAGAAAACGAAGTCCAGAATAGGCACTCAGGATAGAAATTAGCAACTGCTAGTGTGGATTGGGGAGTCATCTATATCGAAGTGAACCCTTGAGAAATGTATAAGATTGTAAAGGAGAACAATATTAAATATTAAATATATTAAATATATTGTGGGCAAGTACAAATATGTAACAGCAGATCCCACTATTATGTGTAATTATAATGCATCAATAAATTTAAAAAAAAAAAAAGATTGTAAAGGGGAGAGACAGGGAATAGGCCAAGGGTGGAGCCTTAGCTACTGTTGTGATTGATGTTAAGGGGAAACACAGAAATGGTAACAAGGGAAGGAAAGGTGACTCAGGAGGAGATACTGGCCCAGAAGCCAAAAGACAGAAGGGAGATATCCATGGCCCATTTGGCCTGTCTAGCTTATAAAGACTTATTTTGGATTTTGAAATTTAAACTTTTTTTTTTTTTAAAGCAGACTTTGAAAGTTACCCTTGCATCAATAATTATTTTAAGAGGTATGTATGATTTACTGTTGAGGGCTACAAGGTCAAACCAAGCAAATAAAATAGATCCCAGAAGTATGCTAAATGTGGGGAGATTTCAGTTTTGTGTTTACATATTTTGGAATTTGACACACAGTTCTTTTAGACTTCTTGTTACTACATCATTGAGCTAAATATATAAATCTTAGTATGTTATACATAGTAGTTAAGCGACAGGATAATTATATCACAAAATGTTTTTTTTTTTTACTTTGTGAATTCATTTAATGTAGTGTCTCTATTAACGGCCCACCCTAGGATATTTTAACTTATTAAGTTTTGTGTCTAGACAATTTTGGTGAAACTTATTTTGCCCAAAGCAGGTACACAGTTCAGTTGTTTAAAAAAACAAAAACAAAACAAACAAACAAAAAAAGACATAAGCTCAATAGGCATTGGTTTCTTACTACTTTATGGCTTTGAAAGACATTCTGAATCCTCTTGCTGGAGTGTTTACCACAGAAAGCAGTAGGATTTAACATTAAATTTTCATTTTGATTAACTTGACTGCAGTCGTTTCTTGGCTGCCTCTTTAGAGCCCACTGTGGAATAAAATTAAAACAGTTTTTATGATATAACAATTTAGTTGCAGAAAATGACATTTTTCTCTTTTCCCAGAATGGCTGTGTGTGCTATCCCTGAGTTTCCTGCATCTGTCCCATGGCTCTGGTTTCTCCCCCATTCCCATCCATCTTTTATAATACCACCAGATTAATTTTCTTAAGCAGAGATTGGGTCATTCCCTTTTCCTTCAATGGCTCCCCATCGTCTCCTCTCATCTAAGCCCAGCTCATTGGTCAAAGAAGCAGCAGCCCAAATGCTGTATTTTCCCCTGAACATCTTCCTTCACCTCCTCTGCTGAAGTCCCTGTCTCCATGGTAGACCCTGTCCCTCTTGCATTGCATGGATCATGCCCTGCCTTACAGGAACACATCTCACCCATGAGAATGTGGAATTCTTGAATGCAAGAGCCACGTCTCCTTGTTTATTTTTTTTTTGTACACCCCGCCATTATCTGTTCATAGAAGAGTCTCAACAGATGTTTGCTGGGTCAATGAAAAGGGACTATTTTAAAATAACAAACATTCACACTGCCCCTTCTTATGCATGTGTGAGCCTCTCACCCTTCACCTTTCCCCCCAGCTTCTGATTAGTTTGTAATGTAGTTATTCATTTTCATCCTTGGGCATTGGCTGTCTCCTCCCTGTTGGGAGATAACTGGTGCTTCATTTTGTTCAGGGATGTATCGCTGGTGCTCAGAACCCTGCTTGTCGTACTGGTTGAGTGAATAAGTAAAACTTTGAAGCTGAAGGTCAGCTTCCCCCTATTTCTTGGGTTATTGTCAGTGGTTTTCAATGTAAAGGACAGTGTGGTGTTGGAAGATCAGGGAGCAGTGTAGTAAGACCTTCATGTTAGTTTCTGCTCTTTACTAGCTCTGCTGCTCTGAGCAAGTTGCTTAACTGCTCTGAAGGTAATTTCCTGTTGGAGGATCACACAACCTAAATTACATTGTTTACATGAGGATTAAATTTTAGGGGGAAAAAAAAGAAAAACACATGCAGTGAAGTTAATAGCTGACGTTTCTTGATCTTTGCTAGTTCGCCAGACATGTTGCGACACATTTTCCATTTGTCTGTCACTGTATATTTTCAGAGCCATTCTGTGAAGCAGAAGAGGGCTACCCCCATCTTATAGATGAAAAGAAGAAGGGTCCTGCACAGTGGTGGGTGGCACAGCATTGATAGCACTGACAGGTCTGCTGAACTCCAAATTTCATGCTCCTAACGCCTCTGCCAATTGTGTGTGTGCCCCTCCTGGGCTGCTGGACCTTTCCTTTGGAGCAGGGGTTCTAGATTTTACCTTGCTGCTTTGCTGCCATAATATGCTTGAGGTTTGCAGAGGGCTCCTGAAAACCAGTGGCCCCCAAGGAGGAATTTATGAAAAAACCTGGTCCCCCCAAAGCTTGAAGGGCAGGGAGTCTGTTTGGAAACTGCCCCCTGATGAGTTAGATCCTTCCCCACCTGCTAATGTACTCCTGCCTCCAGGTTGTGGCCCGTCCCCCAAAATAAAGCTTTTAACTCTGTTATTTTCCACTGCAAAGATATAGCCCTCCTGCATTAAGACTGTTGTAAGGATCATTGCATTATTGGTTTGGAAACAAATGAGATGGTTTATGGTTGAGATAACCAAGTTGATCATTACTGTCCTTTCTATTGATTTGAAAAGTACTGAGTCTTCTAATTTTAGAGAGATCTGCAGATGCCACTTCAAAACACACTTATATCACTAATAACTGTTAATTGTTATAATAAAGTTAACATAAAATATAAGAAAGGCTATTTTCTGTGTAAAGGAATTAGCCTTTTCAGATATTTTCATTACACATTTAAAAGAACCAACCCAGATTTAATGGGGTGGATTATGTCTCCATCTGAAAAGCATTTTTTTTTAATGTTTCATGGAATGGATTTCTCTTTGCAATAGTTTGTCATCAGTTCAAAGGCTAAAAAGGTACTCCAGAAAATATTAAGATGAAAAATAATTTTGTTTGTATGCTATAAGGCTTCATTATGCTTAATTGATTGGGAGGTTTGGTAGAAGGCCAGAGAGAACTGGCAAACATATAAAATTTAAAAGGAAATATAGGCATTTCACTTCAAGTACTCTTTCAACAGAGGCATAAGTTCATTTCTGATAGCTTTATTATAGTGATTAAGAGCATAAGTTTTGAAATCAATCTGGCTTTTTTTTTTTTCTGATTAAATCTGAGTTTAGACGTGTTACCTAACGTTCTGACCCTTGATTTTTCTCACCTATAAAAAAGGAGCAGGACTTACTTCATAAAGTTGTTTTATTACATGAAATAATACAAACGCATCTAAATAGTGCCAGAGTATTGCAGGCACTTTAACAACGTTTATTATCATTGAGATATAGTCATTTAGATCTAATGAACCATTTGAATATCACTTTGCCAAATAGGTGGGAAAGATTTTTATGGAATCCCTATGTGAAATTTTCAACTTGGTATGGAATACTTTTTTTTTTTTAAGCCAACTCAAATGGTAAACTTTGTCTCATCTTGGGATGAGCTGTTAACGTCTGCATTAGTGACACTTTAACTCAAGTATGGAGTTAGCAGGTGTGAATTCTAAGTTTCTTATATGAAATTGTGTTTTGCAGGAGAGTGCATAGAAGGGCTTCGGGAGCATGACTACCTTCTGATTCATTCTTGCCGGCAGTGGACCACCATCACTGCCCATAGCCTGGAGGAGGGCCATTACGTCATTGGGCCAAAGATAGAGATTCCGGTACACTATGCAGGTAAGATTCCTCTCAAAGGGCAAGAAAAAGCAAAGAGAAGAAGGGGACTTGAACAGTTGATTTTTTTTTTTTTTCTTACCTTCACAGTGGGAAAATGGGACTCTTAAGAAAAATTAAGCACTTTTATGTGATTATCTATCAGTGAAAGTTCAGATGCATTTTGTGATTGATAGCTCTAATTAATGCAGCTGGATATTTATAAGATGAAAATTTTACAAACACAAATTACTTCTCTGTAGTCTTGGAATTAAGAAGAAAATGTGTAGCCACCCTCTGAGCTCCAAGCACTCATATCTCTGAATAACCCTGTGCAGCTTGAACATTGCTTTTGTGAATGACTATGACGTAATGATTTCAGGAGGTGCCATTGCACAAGTGGCCACTGAGTCTGGTTTGAAAGTATTGGCTTGGAAGTTCAGATACCTGAGTGGGTGTGTCCTTCTTTTCAAGGAGGCTTTTAGAACACAGCCCCTGCGATGACCTCACTGTTCCAATTCCATGGGGATGATAGCTGCCTTCTCACCTCTCTTTGAACTCCATTCAGTTCAACAATGCCCTTTAACTAATTTTTATTGAGCTCATTCTATAACCAAGCAATGAGCTTGGGATATGTTTAGTGATTTGAATAAACTCAATAGTGGTAGCTTATAAATGTTTAAAAAAAAAAAAAAAAAAACCTAGTATTGCTTTATATTTTGTTCTGGTGAGTATAGTTCATTATATAAAGAATCTTAAGTTTTTCACTGTTGTTGCTTGGTTTTTAAAAAGTCAATAGCAGAACATTTTAACCAATGGAGCATAAATTTTATAGCCCTAGACTGACTTTTTTTTGGACTGGCCTCTACAATGCTGAAGAAGTTGTCTATTTAGAAAAGGGATCTTGCAGAATCCCCACTGTCTAGAACAATAGTAATTTTTTTTTCAATATATAAATGTTTTATGAATGGGTGCTTTGGTACCCTTTTCAATTTATGGAAGTCTTTAGTTGCTAATATGACTCAAAGATCCTTCTTATTCAAAATATTATAAGAAAGTGAGAATTTCTCTGGCCTTAATCTTGGTCCTTTAGAATATCTCCTAGTCCTATGAGTAGCTTTCATGAAAACAGAAAATCACTTGGGTGCTGAAGAGATTGCACCTGGGAGAAAGGAGCCAGGACAATGGACCAGTTTTCCTAGGTGCAGAGAATGAGACAAACCCTCAAGGCTGCCCATTCTCTCTCCCTGTGATTCCCACAGAAGGTGATTTTCCCATTATTTTTAGCAAGCTCAAATTCTGATTTCTTTGTAGAAAACCAAAAAGAAAAGTAAATGGTTATATTGCTTCATCCACATCTATGATTTTACCTAATCTGCTGTATTCTTGTTATTAGCAGACTGCATAATTTTAGTCTTCCCCCCAAAACCATTGTGAATAAATAGCTCTGCCAAATCAGTCTTCCCAAAGGATTGCTTTGGTTTGGTCACTTCCTCAGATCTCTGGAGACTTCCTGCTGCATTAGATTCTTGGCCTTGTTGGGTAATTCCCCCGAGAGTTCCAGGCTACTTCTCCAGCCTTTTCTACTCTGGAGAGTGAAGCTTTCTTTCTGGCTACATTAGACCTCCCACTGTTTCCTGAATACCTGGGACACTTTTCCATTTGTACCGTTATCCCCACTAGAGTGGATTCCCTCAGCCTTGCTGCTTCTCAGAGCCTGCCATTGGTTGGGAGTGTGCAGGGGCTCTCCACTGCCCCATGTGGTCTCCCGATGTACTCACCATGTCACATTCATTGGGCACATTTGGTCACTCTTCAGTTACCTCTTCCTGTGTACACACGTTTTCACCAGTTGGACTATAGAGCCTTTAACAAATTAAAGCATTTCTGAGAAACTCTTGCCTATCCCTTGAATTGGTACAGAAGAGATACACTTTTTGATGGAGGTAGATGCTGGACCTAGGGATCCCAAACTTGGCTACAAGTGGAATCACCTAAGAGAGTTTTAGAGGACAGGGTCCTAACTCCAGAAGTTCAGGTTTAATAGGTCTGAAGTGTGGAACTAATTAAAGGATTTTAAAAGCTCCCCAAGGTTAAAAAACGCAACCAAAGTTGGGAGTGGACACCCACAGTGGCAGATGATAAATAAGATATCTCCAAACACCTAAAAATATTTGCAAATGTAATAATAGTATTTGAATGTATGTTTTTATACTCACAGCCATTCAGTTTTCACTGGAAAGACAGAGATGGTACAGTCAGCAGTTTACTCTGTTTTTAAGGAAAATGATGATGAATATAACTGGGAAACTGGGCATCCTGTTACAAATGATACATATTGTTTTTAAAGAAATTGAGGTGCCAAGATTAAAATGAAATATGGACATTAGGATCATGCCACTTTACATGAAAGCAGATAAAACATATTAAAGAAAGAAAAAATTGAAATAGGTTCAAATGGTTTATGAGGTCATCTGCCATTAAGCAAAATAGAATGGATGGTCAGTGATACTCCTGAGCTGTCTGCCTGAATTGCTTCAGCAGGACACTTAGGTAGAAGTTTTGGGGTGCAAATAGGTGATTGATCATTTTGTTTAGGGATATGACATCTAGAGATAATACCAAGAAAGTTCCTTTAGCAAAGTTTACAAAGACAAATTTAGTGACTTATTAGTTATTTTAAAAAATAAAAACAACTATTAGCTAACCAATAAACAAGAGGATATTGCTTTCTGATTATAGTGTAAAATTGAGACTTATGAGTCTGGATGTGATCATTTCAGAAGTAATGTGATTCCACACACTGGGTATTACACACTGTTTTTGTTTGTTTGTTTGTTTTTCCTGAGATGATGTCTTGCTCTCTCGATCAGGCTGGTCTCAAACTCCTAGGCTCAAGGGATTCTCCTTTCTGAGCCTCCTGAGAATCTGGGACTACAGGTATGCATCACCATGTCCAGCTTGTAGTAGCAAATATTTTGTTTTGAAGCATGGACTTATTATGAACTTCATCCCTTACAAGAAAAAGAACATAAAGTATGTTGTAGAGACCAAAAAATATCATTTATATCTCTCTAGCTTACCTTTATCCATGCATATTTGACTAATTTGTCAGAAATTTCATCTAGGATCAGTTCCCAGCTTTTGGCTAAGATCAAGTATAGAAATTTCATCTAGGTTAAGATTAATCTTTCATTCTTTGAGGGAAATTAATAAATAGTTAATAATTAAAGTAGAGCCCACCAGCTTTAAAATCAAACAGCATAGTTTGATTCCCAGTTCTCTCATTTACTGTCTGTTTTACTTGAGGCAAGTTAACAGATCTCTTTAAATTGTATTTTCCTCATCTGTAAAGTGGGGGTAATTATAATGCCCTGCTCCTAAAGTGGTTGTAAAGTATAAAAGAGATAATGCGTGTGAAACCCTTTTCAGAGTGCTTAGTACTTTTTAAGTGCTCCCTCAATGTTAATGGTGACCATCATGATAATGCTACTAACAAAATGTTTCTAAAGATTTAACTGTATCTTGTATCACTAATCACATGCTGAATTTCCTTCATTGAAGCTGGCTGAACAACGACATCCCTCAAAATTGTTTTGGTGGTTGTTTGCTTGTTTTCTTTCTGTTGTTGTTTTGTTTTGCTTTGATGTTTAAAAACTCTTATTTTGAGTTTGCAATAGTGTGCTGCTTTATATCTCTTACCCAGTTATGCCCATTTTAGCATCATTTGGTCATGTTCGTTCTTTCTCTCCCTCTCCAGTGCACAGGTGGATGCACACACTGCGCGTTTCCTCAGAGCAAGGATATCCTCTTATGTAACTCTTAGCAAATTCAGGACACTTAATACTTTAATCTACAGTCCATATTCCAGTTTTGTCAGTTGTCCCAACAGTGTCCCTTTTTGCATTTTCCCCTCCAGGACAGCATCCAGCCTGGGACCACGTATCGTATTTCACTGTCACGTCTCTTTAGCCTACTTTAATCTGGAGCCGTTCCTCAGCTGTCTTTGTGTGTTGGGATGTAGACATTTTCTGAAGGGTGCAGGCAAGTTGTTTTATAGAATAGCCTTCACTTTGGTCTCCCTTCTCCTTGTGATTAGATTCAGGCTGTACATTTTGGGCTGGCTTACCACATACGTGATGTGTCTCTCTCAGGAATTACAGTTTAGCACCAGGGATGTCCTTGTGCCCCTTATTGGTGATGTCAGTTTTGATCACTTAGATTAAATTGTCGTCTGATTGCTTTGGCTGTGTAATTGGCATTACTAGGGAGTTTGAGAGAGGATACTTCAAGACCCTATAAGTATCCTTGCTCCTTCTCTAAAACTTCCAGCCCCTCCTCCCTAACCTGATTCTGTAATTCTGTTGAAGATTTCTATCTAATTTTGTTTTTACTTGAAGGTGGCAAAACATTTACTGCTTCATTCCTTCTTATTTCTTAGCCTTCTTCCATGGAAAGGAAAAGCATTTCTTTCCTTCCCGTTTATTACTTACTTATCTGTTGTAATCAGCATGACATACAGATTCTGTGTTATGTGATGGATTACAACATATTACTCTCCTAATTTATATTAGCGCCCATATTGTCCCAGATTTGTGCATTGGGGTATGAGCTAGTATTTTTATCTCCCTCTGTCTTTTTCAGGTATACCCTTGTCTTCTGGTGTGGGTAACAAGCATTCTTCTCAGTCAGTATACTGTTTGAGTCAGGGCTGCAACATCATTCTGTTCCAGGCAGTGCTTCCCATTTTGTGGTTTTGTAGATAAGAGTCCCGTGGAGTTGGGCAGTACACAGCCTGGGCAGCCACACACAGCAGTAGTGTTCACATATACCTTGGAAAGTGGTGAGACTGAGCACTTTTTAAAAATCATGACTCGAGTGCCTTATCCATGGTTCACATCAAAGACTTTCATGAAATTCCTCATGTGAAAAGAAATAACGTCATAAAACTTTGAGAAAAACTGTGACTTGAAGTCTGTTACAACTATACTCTGAAATGGAAGTATAAAATTCTTTATTCCAAA